TATATATATAATATATGTATATTTATAATTTAAAACTAGATTATATATACAATATTGAGTTCATTTTTATTAAAAAATTATATTTTTCAGATGAAGAATATTAAATCCTAAATCAATTTTTGATACACCTGTATAAAAATGATATTAAGAATGAAGTTTTTATTTTTATGACAGTATTATTTTAAATTCATAAGTATTTTTAATAATATTACTTTAAAATTATATAATTATAAATTAAATTGAAGTCAAACAATAGTAAATCAAGATAAATGGATAATAATCCATTAAATAAATAATCAAAATGTTCTTCAAGAAAGTTTTATATTAGGTAATTGAAATACTAAATCTATTATCAGAATCACATGATATCAAATTTAATTTTTTTATTCTAAAAGTACAATATTTTATTTTGCAACAATAAAATGATATTTCTTATGCAAAAGAAAACTGTAAATATAAAAAGTATTACTTTTGATAAAAATTTGATTTGTGTTATAAGATTTTATGTTAATAGATTGATAAAAGGTTAATAAACTTCTTCAAAAATCAAAATTTTCATTTTTATTTGAAAATAAATCAAATAAATCAATTTAGTTTCGGAAAAATCAGAGATATTAGTAATAAAAAGTGATATTTCCATTAAAAATTTTACAAATATTATATTAGAAAAACTACAAAATTCTCATTCATATTAAAATCTTTTATTATATAAATCATGATTAATCCTTTAATTAAAAAATAATCGTTAATTTTCTATAAATAAATACAAAAAGAATTAAGCAAAAATATAAATTTCAACGATATCAATTTTGTTACAATTAATTTTTAGATCTTTATTTTAATTTTAAAAAGTTTTATTTTTTTAAAACTGGAAATAAAAAAAGAAAAATGATATATCTAAATATTAAATCTAATATTCTAGATTAAATTATGTTTGTAATATTGTTTATAATTTATATAAATAATGATAAAATATATAGATATATAATATATTATAGTTTATACTATACTATATATAATATATATAGATAGATAATATATATAGATATAATAAAACTTAAAAAAAGAAACTGTATATGTTAAGTAATAATAATAAATAATAATAAAGTAGTAATAGTAGTAGTAATAGTAGTAGTAGTAATAATAATAATAATAATAATAATAATAATAATAATAATAATAATAATAATAATAATAATAAATAAATAAATAAATAATACAATTTTTCAAAGCGAATTTAAAATAATGAATTTTATTACAATAGATATTCTATGAAAAGAAAAAAACAAAAAAATTAGTAGAAGAACGGTATACAATATTAAATATAAAAGAAAGTATTATTGATTATTTAATAATAAAATATTATTGATTATTTACTAATACTTAATCGTTTATTTATATATAATATACATATACATTGAAGAAACTGAATTATTTATAGAATAATATATTTTATATTATTTATTTATTGATTCTTAAAATCATTTGATATTATTTATTTTATTCATTTGTTATTGAATTTAATTAAAAAGATATTTTATATTAATAATGATCAAAATTATTTCAATTAAGAAATATAATACAAATGTTATGTTCAAAGAAGCGTTAATTTGTGGTATATCATTAATTCACTATTTTCATATCAATAAATACAAGTTTCAATGTCCAACATCAGAAATGACATTTCCAATAACTTACAAATTAATAAAGTAAATTATTATTGAAATCGTAATTTATTATATATGTTATAAATCATCTTGTATATGTATTTTTAACAAAATAATAATGTAATGTAAAATTATTCATGAATCTAGATATTATATATTATTTAATAATTAATAAATTTACAACACCGATTTTTTTTAAAATTAAATCAAAATTTTGATAATTTTCTATTATATTGTTTTTCATTAAATAAATTTTTGTTTATATTATTCGCTATAAACACAATATTTATAAAAGTTTTCTTATTGATTTTGTTTTTTTAAAAATAAAATAGCGTTACACAAATTTATTTACTTATTATAGAGAAAAATGTTTGAGGAAAAGAATCAATGACTAGTTGTTCTTTCCTCTTCTTCTTTTTTCTTTTTTTTTTTTTTGATTATTTCGAAGTGTAATGAGTCATGAATTTATTTGAATAAGACTAATGTGTTCGATCATTTGGATTATGTGGTCTTATTTCTTATTAGAATTGGGGAAAGTAAATGATGAGCGTTAGGATTGCAAGTACAATAACGCTTTCACTTTTGAAAACAAAGTTCATTTGTATTTCTGAGAATCAGAGTAATAATAGATATTAGAATCGATTTAAGAATTTCCTACGAGATTGATTGATTTTTATTTGTTAAAAAATTTAATTTTTCAAAAATTTATAAAAAAATTATAAATAATTATTTTTATATTAATTTAATATTANTATCTGCTTTCATGATAAAATTAATCGACTTTTTTATATTTAAATTGATTTAAGTTTAAATTTTTTAAAAGTCAATTTTAATAGATATAATAAAAATATAATAAAAATAATTTGTTTGCTATAAAAAATGTTTTTTATTAGAAAAATAATAAAAATAGAATAAATTTTCATTTCATGCAATAAATTATCATTTTGTATATTATTATATTATGAAGAAATATATGAATTGCATATTAATTTAGTTTATAAAATAATAGCGAGAAAAAATTAAAAATTCTTTTTCAATTTTTATTCTTAAAAAGAAATAACTTACAAATGTTTCACATTTAATATAAAAATTATTACTGGTGACAATTAAAATAAAGAATTATTATTATTTTCTTATTAATATAAATTAATAAATTATGGAAATGGTGATTTAACGAAGTATGAGTTACATCGTAACACTAAATAACTATTACTTAAATATTACGAAATCGAACATAGAAATACTCATAGTTCAAACATTCGAAATATAGAATTCTAGTATAATAAATGAAATTGAATATATAATTCAGAAAATATCTTTTATCTTAATTTTAAATGTTTAAAATACATATAATATCATTAATATAACTAGTTAAAAATAAACTTCTATATGAAATTATTTATTATTTTTTTTTAGATAATATCATAAAATTATATTGTTTATATTATTAACATTTTAATAATAAAATTATATGAGATTTTAAACAATGACAGTAATTGAAATGAAATTAATAATTATATTAGCTATTACATATTTACTATTATGTATTTACTATTTGTAATATTTTATGTATATTTTGAAACTTAGTTATTAAGCTAAAAAAAATGCATATATACTTAAATATTTATGTATGTAATATTATCTTATATTAGTTTTATAAAATTATTTATATAAGATTAATGAATATAGATTAATGATTATGAATCAAATTTTATATTTATCTATTCATTCTAGTATTCATGCATAATATTTACAAACGCAATGAATATTATTATTTTTATGAATCATATCTGTAAATAATTAGAAATTTATATTCTAAATAATTCAGAATTTTGAATTTTATATTCAAGTTGTATATATATTGCATTATTATTATAATAAAAATTCAATTGATATTTAATTCTATTAAATAATAAAATCATTTATAAATAAAAAATAAATTAAAATTCTTTGTTTCTTACATCTACTTTTTATATCATATGGAATTTGATCTATTCATTTCTTTATATTTTCTTTCTTCTCTTTATTCTTAATTTTTAAATTGCCTAACTTTTTAGATTATAAAAAAGTGATATTAGAGAATTCTTTTTAAATGTTTAAAAATGAATAGAATCTTAAAAAAATTTTTTTTAATATTTTATTCTTAATTTACAGAGCAGCGTGAGGTGGCCAAAATGCTGACTGCTCACTCTGAGATGCACGAAAAACGGGATCCCCTTGGAGGTGGACAATATGGAGTAGG